CTCTAGGACACAGGTGTCAAATATGAGGCCTGGAGGCCAGAATCGGCCTGGCAGAGACTCCAATCTGCTACAACTTTGGAAAATGTGAAGGACAGCATAAACGGTATTTTCATAACTTTTACAGAGTCAAACCTGACTCGCAGTCATTCATGCTACACCTGGTGAAAAAAGTTTTTTCCGCTATCTGCTTTAGATATTTTTTTTTTTTTTTTTTTAAATTGGTTCATACCAATTTACACAAAATACACAAAAGGATTAAGAAAATTTGGGGATTTTTGGGCACTTTTATATTTTACTTGTCTAGCTCGCAGTTGGCCCCTGCTGGTCCTTAAAAATAATGCAAGTTTAAAGCTACAGCTGTTGTTTAATTGCAGTCTTTGTGAGAAACAAGTTGGACCGTGATGTGTGACATTTAACTGAGCCGTCTTGTCATTGTTTTCAAGTGTAAGCTGTCAACTTGTGAGGAACATTTAATCCAGAATGATGTCTAAAGGTCAAGCGAGCAGGTTTACTGGCTCCTGGACTTGATCCGTCTCTTACTGTGAAGGACTTTCAAATTAAGAGATGGATCTGTCAGAGACATATGGTCCCGCTGGAGCTTAGCAGCTTAGAAAAATTACATCTGAGTTGGACACCCCCAAACCTCTCTTTGATACCACTCCTTGATATCAACCTAGCTTTCTTTTTCATCTTAGCTGGTGCTTTAAAACACACACTGCTGTTTATTTGTCCAGGAATGAAATATCTGGACCAGATGAGACTTTTACCGACCCTGAGCCAAACATTAACCCTGCCAGGCCGCGATGGCGACGCCACATTCTTTCAGCAAAGGAATGCAGGGAGGTATTTTCCCTCGCTTCAAGCGGGACAGCGATACTGGCCGCCTTCCATGATTCGCTGTGATGGAACAAATTTTCGAGCATTATCTAAATATTTATACTTTTCTTATTATTTTCTCAGAAGTTTAGTAAGTCAAACTTTTTCAGATAATAATGAGATTTTTTTTTTCAAATTGTATGTATTTATAAGCATCCAAAGGTTTGATTGATTCAATAAATGTTTTGGTTTTTGGTCTTTGGTGCCCTTTGCTGTGTTGTTTTGTGATCTGAAGGTTCAAAAATCTTTCCTACTACAAATCTGGTAAACTTTATTTATTGTACAGTTTGGTAAAAATGGAGCGTTTGGAGTTTATAAGCAGCTTTCTTAATTTGGGATCTAAGGAGTACACTATGAAGCCAAATTAATGGGATAGCGAGGTATTTTGTTGCCTGGCTATATTAACATTATAACTTCCTGCTCTCTGTCTTAACTTCACTGGTTTCACTGGTATCTCATCAACATTCGACACTTTCAATTTTTGCTTCACATTATTTCCTGAAGATCAGCGTCAAACATTTTGGGTCTGGCAGCACTAAGTGCGACATTCTCTGCACAAGGTTTCATACTTTCAACCTGAGCTGAGCCTGTAGTGCAGTAAAGTTGAGCCATGGAGCACCGTGATGGGAATGCAGAAAGTCTGTTTTTACACTGTAACAGAACAAACATTAGAAAACAGAGGATCAAAACAAATACAGCTGAGATATGAGTGACTAGTGTTGGGCCTGGGTGAATTTATTTTAACATTAGCCTCCCATATTTCTTTACGTTTTCCCATATCTGCACAATCATTTGCTGTTTCTACAGAGTCGATATCTGTATTTAATCACCAACACTGCCTCCCCTCCATGCGACAAAAGTGAGAGCTCCAAACAAGCTGCTGCACATAGAAAATGCAAATGTCCCCTCTTTCTAAAGCGCTGAGGGTCTATTGTCAGGGGGGCGCAGCTGTGCTGTCACAGATATTGCTTCCAGGAAATACGAGCCGCACCGCGTTCATTCAGGAAGAACTGAACCTGAAACTGAAACGTGGCTGACCCACATGGCTGCGAGAGCGATACAGTCAGCTTCCAGTTGGGCCTATTGCTGAAGCAGAACAGGAGCAGCAGGCTTCCAGTCACTTGCTGTGGATGGCTGATATTAAACATTTTTGTAAAAGGGTGTAGCTCAGGAGGAACAGCAGGTGTTCTACTGCTCGGGAGGTTGGTGGGACGATCCCTGGCTGCTCCAGTCTGCATGCTAAAGTGTTCTTGGGCAAGATACTGGACTTGAAGTTGCTTCCCATGCATTCATGTTCATCAGAGGGCAAATGCTAAAAAAAAAAAATGCTTGCCTTAAATGAGGCATGTTGTGTAAAGTGCTCCAAGAGGAAAATTAGAATGGAAAAGTAAATACAGTAAGAACCAGCCCGATTACCAAACGATTAATAATAAAATGATTTGGCTCTCCGACCCAGCTACAGTCCAGATGTACCCTGGGATGCAAGCAAGCATTATCGCTTGAACCACATGAAAAGTAACAAATGATCTTTAGAAGCTACTCATCTTGATTTCTTAGTGAATATTTGACTACTGTAAATAAAATCTGGATCTGAAAAAAACAGCGAGAGCTTTGTTGGACCGTGTGAAACAGATGGAGGTTACAGTCAAAGGAAGAACAGATAATATTCCCACCTGATTGGTTACTGTGTTAAAGCCAATCTGTGCCAATCATGGAGCAGAATCTTCTAATGTAAATCTTTGATAAAAAATAAATAAATAAATAAGAAAATGCAGAGTTTGCGTAGATTAACGTTTGAGTATTGAGGATGAACTAAAGCTACACTCTCTGCAAAAGTTAGCAGTCAGTGTAGAAACAGAACAGCTGATGCTTTAAGATAAGATTTTTACAGGGTGCAATAAAGGTGCTACAACAGTTACACAAACAAAGAGTTCAGTCCCTTAGTAACCAGCTGTGACGCTCTAATACTGTCACTTCTATTGCAAATAATAGAGTCACGACGATAACCACGAGTCCACATTATGACCATATGTTAATCATTAGAGACCGTGCCGTGCATATGTCTCGAACCAGCCTTCATTTCTTTATATTTGCTAGGAAAAGCAAGATCCATGAATGCTAGTGTTCCACTGTGTGTTTTTCTATCCGAGCATTGACGCGTGTCTGTGATCATTGTCGTGTTGATTCATAGGTCAGAGTTAAGTGGCTTTACAAACAAAAAATATTCCTATGAAAATGGTCAGGTGTGAGGACTGGACTGAAAATGAGTGAAAAAGCAGCCAATGTCCCAAGAAACACTCCTCAACAGGACTTTAAAAAAAAAAGAAGAAAGTCTGGCTCCTTGGAAGCAAAATATAAAGAAAAGATGAGTGGCTCAAGACTTTTGCACAGCACTGTGTAATAGATCATTAGGAATGAAGTGGGATAGTTCTGAATGAAAGCTTTCCTGTAATAACATGTTGTTAATTAATTAAAAATGACTGAAACAGATTCAGCAATTTATTTCTGATCTCCTCAATTATTAATAACGTGTATCTGCTGTTAACTCTGAACTTTACCATTACCTTCATCCTAGTATGGAGCACGCGTCATCTGATCTCAGTGCCAGTACTTGTCATCTTCTTTATATTCAGTTGGTATATCTCATAGTTTTAAGTTGCTCCAGTGTGAAAACCATTTCTGCTGCCTCTGCGAGCTGCTTTGCAACACACTATGGTCATAATTTATACCCTTTTTCTGATTGCTCAAAATTGTCCCCACCACTAATTCAGTGCTAATTCTACTACTCTGCTTACAGTTGTAACCTGTATTTGAATCCTCTCTCCAGCACCTTTCAGAGCCGAGCGGCATTTCATCGAGTTTCAGTAATAATCTCTGCATCATCACATGATGTACAGAGGAAGCAGAGGGTTGGTTGCTTAGTTGGAGCCAGGGGAGGACACAGTGTGACGACATCAGGAAGCAAACGCAGGTATCTCTGTCACTGTTTCCAAAAGTCTGTGTACCCTGGAGGGATTTTATTTGCGTTTTTTTTTTTTTTGCAGGCGGTCAGCTTTCAATGACCTAAAAGGGAGCTTGCATCTGAAAGAAATGCTCAAACTTACAATAAAATCCCCAAGTATCTGTCGAAAAAGGCTTCGAAGGTCAAAAACTTATAAATATCTAAAACACACCTGCTCCAGACAGCAGCAAGTCTTCAGATCTATCTGACACCGTGCAGAAATCAGGACTATTATTTTAACTAAACAATGATATTAATGAAGGACTAAACATTGTAACTTACCAGCTACATGAAACAAGTTGTTTCATGTGTACGTGTAAGCTGATAGTTTTGGTTCACAGTGCACACTTTCCCTCCATTTCTCCACACCCGCTTCTTTTTAAAAAACACTTGAGGACAAAAAAAGACGCACTTAAACATGAGTACTCCCACCAGCCTGATGGAGACGAGCACCCAGAGGAATCTGACAACCCCATGACTCAAGAGCTACTGCCTCCTCCTCCTCCTGCTGCTCCCAGTCTGAACACACACACACACACAAACACACTCCTCCTCAGGGGAGGAGATTTCCTTGAGGATTATAAAGTGGGGGATTTGAGAAAATGGAGGGGAGGAGGAGTTATTGTCCTGTCCAGCGTCCTTGCTGTAATCTAGTGTTTGGTCTGGGAGTTGCTGCCTCTGCAGAGCCACTGAGGCTGCTGGGAAAGTAAATGAAGACAGAGCAAGCACGATCATGGGAAGGCGGGATTAAGCCATTCAGGTCATAAAATCTGACACTACCTGGATGATGTGCTTTGAAAACATGCCACTAAAGGGAGTTTTTCCTTCCCACTGTCGCCAAAGTGCTTGCGCATGATTGTTGGGTTTTTCTCTGTATCTATGAAGCGCCTTGAGGCGACTTTTGTTGTGATTTGGCGCTAAATAAATAAAATTGAATTGAATTGAATTGAATTAAATTTTAGGTGAGAGTAAAAACTTCAGTGCCAAAATCCGCAGTTCCTCTAGTGGCCACTTGAGGCCGTCTTTAAAAAGGAGTCAATCCCTGTAGTATCTGAAGCTAAAATGCCCAACTGGACAGGAGCCAGTGATCATTCAAAAATGTACACTTCTGGCTCAGTAAAATCAAACACGGTGGTCAAAAAGTCTAGATATCAGTGGCTTATGTCAACCTCTCAAAAATATTCTTGGTTTTAACCTCTAAAACGAACACATTTTTCTATGAAAGGTTTTTCTCACACAACCCTTGTTTTTTCCCCACTGCTGACTATCTCCTTCAGTGTCCTTCCCAGGAACTGCTGCACAGACAGGAATGTTTGGCCCAGGTCCACGTCTGTTTTCAGAGATACCAGCAAATGTCAGACTGAGGGGGCAGAGGCTGAGTGACTGCCTCACCCTGAGATATCTCCTCCAAAGAGGGGGAGGAGACGGTGACAGCTCTGCAGCAGTTTAAAAACTGTGTGTGAAGGCACGTTACTGTTCAAATCCCCCACCTTATCACGTTCACTTAAATATGCGGCTGCTCTAAAAACGAGACAAATAAACTTCTTTACAGTTACTGTGCTGTAAACATTCACACAAGTCAACAGTTTTGATACGCCAACTTTAAAACACCACAGGAACCACACAAAGGTCTGAGGCTGCTTAGCTATAGCCATACAGTGAGTATATGCTTTTATTCCAAGAGCCAATCTTTACTCCAATTCTTGCTGTTTTAGGCCAAACAGTAAAGATGGGTTTCAGGTTTTTATGGGAGCTTTTGATGAATGCACCATTAATTTAATTTGCTAGGTTGACCAATACTGATGTATGTGTCCAGTTAGTTTAACTTTAAACAATTTCACAGCTAATTCAGACCCAGATGATCTACTATTGTCCAACTTGTGATTTAAAAAGTCAGAAAAGCAAAGCCACGTCTGATCTTTATATTTGATTCACAACATGTGTTAGACTGCATTGCATTTAAAACTGGCAAAAGCACATGTGAGCCTTCAATTATAGCAGTGTTTGAACCCACAAATACCAGACATGCATGGATGTTGTTTGTAGGTAAATCCGAGGTGCACATTAGGAAGATCAACACAGCCAGGCTGTTTTGGCAAATCCTAAAACCACAGTTGGAGATAACAGGTATCATGAAGGTGGTTATCAACTTTTTCTGTTAAGCCACACTTTCTACGTCAGTCTCTGTGCACGCTCTCATAACAACGGGGATTTCACATGTCATGTGACTCTTCTTCTGCATAAATGATCCCTATGAGCACCACCTACTCCAATCAGAGACATTATTGTGTAAAATGGTGATAAAACTCTATATCTTACTTTTGCAACACTGTTGCAAAGGTAAGATTAATGCTCCAGAAAATTATGAGTCTTGGGATTTAGTGCACAGAGTGGTAAAATAAACATTTGAATTCCACTTAATTATTTTATGGGCGAGTGTGCTCTCAGTACTGTTGTTAATTAATTAGTTATAATAAAATTCACCTTGCTCAGAGATGTTATGAAAGGGGAAACTTAGAGATTAAAATCTTTTTTGTAGTAGGATGGAAACGCGTTTACTTTTGCTGTAAAGATGGACGACTATAGTCTCAACTATGGGAACTCTAGCGGCCACTTGAGTCTTGAATCAAGCCCCAAGTGGCCACTAGAGGAACTGCAGTTTCTTCTATTTTCGAAACCTCAGTTTCTGCTTTTTAGCACTGTTTCATAATAATCTTGTCCTCAGGGAATAAAAAGGCAGAAGATTTTTTTCACATGTTTTTCCCTGATGCATCATACCCAGAAGTGTCAGTATTTGCACAGGGAACCTTCTGCATAGCTTCTTTAAAAAGCTCAACTTTGTAACTGAGACAGCTCAGTGCCCAATTTATTTTTGTTTTCCCAACAAGACGAGCAAACCTTTGTATTTGTAATTAATTAGCTGAGCCACAGCAGGATACTGACATATGCAAGAAATGTTTGATTATTTATCACTCATATGACATCACCACTCCCTGTGTCACTCCATTCCTCCCTCACCCTTTCACATGCTGCTGATTCACCATCTTGCTGACACTGGAACCCAAACAAGCGGCCGTCTGCGGGGCTGATCTCGCCCCCGTTGAGCTGTGAACGCTGCCCACACAAAAGAAAGTGCCAGCGTCATCACAGCTGGGCTTATCGATGTGTCACTGCCCGCCACGGGAAACAAAGAAATAGTTTTTTAAAAAAAGAACAACAAAGAGGAGAGAAGAGGAATCGAATGCAGTGCCGAGCAAAGTGCAAAAACTTTGTTCAAATACGGGATCACCAAACATCTGGAACATCTTCAATTTTGACTAATTCAGAGTCACAGTCTCAAGTATCTTTACAAAAACCCCAGCAACCTAATTTTAGTCTTAACCTGATCAAATTTAGGCATTAGTAAGTATGACATCACGTCCTGCTGATCTATCAAATCTCCAGAAAACAGCAGATCAGATAAACTTTTTACTCTTTACAATGAGCTTTAACAATAAATATACAAATTAATTCAACTACTACATGCCCATGCTACAGCTTTTTTTAAAAATTGTTTTCAGGCTGTTGGCAAACTGATATACTTAATAGCAGTGACAAAATGTGATTCAGTATAATAATCAGCCAGTTTTTTGATGGGTCCTGTGCAATGTTGAGGTTCTGCTGTTACTTCTGTTAGGTGATTGCCAGGCTGTGGCACATTATCTAAGTTTTGTGGGTCTAAATGAGATCTTTTTGTTATGCAGTAAAGTCAAAATGTGGCTACAAATGTAGCAGTTTTGTGGGTGGTTGCTAAGCAACATCATAAAAACTACATAGATGAGAACCTTCAGGGGTTTTAAGATGTACATGCGCGCCAAGTCTGATTGGTCAACTCTTTTTTTGGTGTAGAAGAATGGAGCTTTGTGAATGGAGCTGCACGTCTTAATGGAACTACTGCCAGACTCTACTGCGCCTTCATGACAGAGGTGTGATACTGAGAAGCATCACACACTTTTCTAACACCGTGGTTCTACCTTCCTTTGTAAAATCAGCCTGTCTGCTCCCAGCAGACCTGAACTTAACACTTTCATGTGAACACAATCATTGAGCTGATAATGATCTTCATGTGACCGCTGAGCCTGATTATCAATGTTAGGATAAGTGAAACTAGATAAAGGCAAGATAACCTGAATATGTTGAACAGGATCCAGTTATCAGTTATCCTAAGGCACACAGAATGCTGCTACCAGGCTTTTAAACACGTAGCACAAGGAACAACCACAACACACCAGTCCTTGCAGCCTTCACTTCCTATCTGTTAGTTTGAGCTTGAGCCCGGATGCTGCTTGAGACCTTCTGGCGTGACTTTGGACCAAACCCAAAGGCTCTTCTAGTCACTAAAGGTGATTGAGCTTTTGTTGTCTGGGCCCTACAACTGTTGGGAAATCTCTTCATTCACAGGCTAAGAATTTGCTAGTGTTCCTCGTACACAATTAAAGACTGGGGAAGACAGTGCCTTTCAGTGTGTGGAACCCAGGCTAGCACTACCATTAGCTACTACTATTTAGCTGACTTTCTGCACTCCTGTTTTGTTTAAACAAGGTTTCTATTGGGCATTTAAAACTAATAATAATTATAATTATAATTATAATTATTATTAGTAGTAGTAGCAGTAGTAGTAGTAGTATCATCATCATTTATTTATTTATTTACTTTTAACGATCTGTTTATTTTATTGTGTCTTACTGTCTCTGTACATTAGCTACTATGGCACTTAATTTTCTCATTTGTTTTACTCTTTTTTGTGTGTACTGCACTTTGTGGCTGTCTGTGAAAGACACTTAATAAATAATCTTCACTTAACATAGTAATTATTATTATTTGGTTGATTTTATATACTTGCTACTATACTTGTGTATATGTGCCAGTTATTCCTTCTTTTTTCCCGTTGCATTGAATCTGAAATTGCTTTTAATTCCATTTTTCTATTTTAAGTTTTCAGGTTTGTTGCCTTTATTATTGCTCAGCACTCTGTTGCTTTGTTTTAAAGTCTAATGTGAATACAGATGAAAAAGCAAAGCAAAAGAGTCCAGAAGGCTGAAATGACAACAGCAAACTGCAGACAACAAAGTCCACAAAGATATTTGTATTATGTTTGTATCCAGGACACCGCTGTGATCCTGTGCTCACTAGCATTACTTCAGTCTCAAGAAACACAAAGCAATAATTCTGATTAATATAACTTTATACAACTTAATATATAAAATCAAAAGGCTATTTATTAAAAAATGAATCATTAAGGAACATGTGCTTGTTATAAACTGACCAATGAAGTAAATTTCATCTGACCAGTTTCCATTAAATGCAACATTTCACACTATATGTAATCAAATTACTACAAGTCAGCACTTTGGGCATAAATATTGTTTTAGTGTAAAGTGAGGAAAATGTTCTGAAACCTGAAGCTTTCCCCAGGAAATTAACATATAGACGCAGAGGGAATTGAAGA